GGTAAATTCTTCTTATATCAATAAATGCAAAACTTTTTAATGTTACTCTGACTAGTGTGCCTTTGAAACAAGTACTTATGCTATATTAAGGTGTTTAACTGGTGAATCAGATATACATTGCATTCTTATATGCAAGTCACATTTTTTTTTTCCAAATATTTTATTGATTGCATGTATCCAAACTTAATTCAACCAAAAGTTTGGTCACACTGACATGAACAATTATGTCCAATGTGAAACAATAAAACAAATGGCAGCCACTTTGGTGATATTGTTTCATTGCCACTGTTTGATCCTTAATCAAGATTAGCAATAGTTAGATTCTTGCAAGAGATCATCACATGATTAAGAAATTACAAAACTAGAGTTCTGACAAATGGAATATATAAAAATCTTTGATTTTTCTTTTCAACAAATGGAAACCCAGTTGAAAACAGATGTGCAAACACCCACTTGAGAGTAATAATTTATTTAAAGTCATTAGGGCTTAAATGTGGCTAAAACATGATGTAACTGTAGTATCGTATGCAAATTAGATAGACAAGTATAAATAGAAAACAACTGGTGGGCATAAGGGCTATGCTTAGCAAACTCGTTTGCTAAATGTAACGTGGAGAACTGTGCTATGACTGCTACTACACAGATATACCAAACATAACTATGGCGTTGCCTATAGGATCATTAAATTCACTGGACGACCCGGATAAGAACTTATGTGTGGTTAAAACAGATTGGATGCAATCCATACATGAGACCACCATACTAGCCACAATCTAAATGGCATTGCAGAAAGAATGGTACAAACAGTAAAAATGGGATTAAAAGCATTCTCACCACTTAATGTATTAGATTTACCAAAAATGCTCCTCAGTTTCAGATCCATTCCACATGTGGGAAGAAAACTGAGCCTTTTGGCATTAATGGGAAGACAAATCAGAGCCCCCATAACTATGTCCTTTGCAACGAAAGAAAAGGTATGTTATAGAATGAATAAAGAGGCTGATCCAGAAGAAGCAAATTTCATGATACAAAAAAGGACACAACACGACTATACTTGAGAAAAAGGGACAAAATATACTGGCACATGCAGATCAATTTAGAAGCAGAAACAAACTGGATGATATAGAAATGGAAAATCAAGAGCAAGAAGAGACAGAAAGTTACAAAAGTGGAACAGAGCAGAAAATGGAAGAAAGTGAGAATGAAAAGACAGATGAGAGTGAAGAAGAAAATGAAGAGAGACAGAGATCACTATTAAATAGAAAACAAGACAAGAGGAAGGACAACACAGTACGAAAATAATCAGGTAAAGTAATAGAAAAAACAAGGGTATACAACCTCTCTGATTCAGGGAGGTGTAGTATCATATGCAAATTAGACATGTATAAAGAGAGAAGAACTGGTGAGCATAAGGGCTATACTTAGCAAACCCGTTTGTTAAACATAATGCAGAGAACTGTGCTATGACTGCTACTACACAGAGAAATATACCAAACATAACAGTAACATACTGAAGTATTTGTAAATGTGTTCCATCCCTTAAGGTTGAATCACTTTATTAAGCATGACAACTGGGCTCAACAGTATGTGAAACTGGATTTTTAGAAAGTTCTACTCACAGCCAAATGTAGGGCAATGATGGATTGTCTTGATGGTTGACAAAATGAGTGGTACTTGACAAAGGACAAAGCTTGTTTGGTTGAGGTGACAACAATGTTTTGGGTAAGAGTCATCATTAATGTGTTGGTTGGCTCCTGGTAGTGAAAGGTGAATGATGACTACTTCTGCTTACATTGAATTCCTCTTTCCCAGGAATCTCAAAAAAATGGCCTGCAGGGTACTTATGACCTGTAGAGAGGAATTTTTTAGCTCAATATTTTTCTCAAATTTTAAAAAGTTCAATTTAACCCTCACCCCATTCCATACTTTTGCAGTAACTGTATTGAACTTGACCTACCTACCAAATACAGACAGTCACTTGATTTTAAGGTCAGTGAAATCTATTCTAGTTCTTCTCCAAGGTGGGAAAGAAAACTGGACCTCTTCAATACCACATATTCTTCATCAGCTATCTAAAAATAGTATAAATGTACTTTGCAACTGTCTTGTTTTCTCTCACTTTTTATCTTTTTAATTATCTAAGAAAAAATAAATTTGACAATTAATATTAGGAAAAGTAGAAATAACTATCAATTTTATTATAATTATATAAAAGGTGAAAAGGGATAAATTTGGTTACTCATATTGACATGGAGTTGTAGACACAACAGAAACTGAGGATTTTTTTTTTTTTTTTTTTTTCATAACATGAGGTGGAATAGACTAGATTTTATATTGGGGTTGATAGGGTACAAGAAGTAAAAGACAGCTAACACAAACAGCAGAAATCATGTTAGAGGTTAGAGAGCAGATTAAACAAACTGAAATTTCAAAGAAGAAAGGCGTGTTTTTGGCCAACTACTTAATTAAAACAAAAATTGTTGACAATGTCAAAGAAAATTTCCAAGGAAAACTGAACTTTTTAAGAAAAGTGGTAAAATTTATATTTTGTGATAGTGGTGAATAGGGTTGCTGACCATCCCATATTTGAGAAATTACATGTAAATTTTGCCTTTAATTTGTACTTAATAAACACAAATGACTGGAATCCATGCAAAATCTTGCATACTGGTACACTCCTCTCCCTATCACAATTCCTAGCATTCAAAATTACCAACTGATTTAATTCAGCTTTGTGACTCTGTGGAGCCCTGGTTGGGAACTTGTTCCTGAGGTTTTCTGCTTCTGACCCACTGCACCTCTCCCTTAGCACATAATGGCTCTTTTTGTCTTTGAGTTTGAAACCCCTGCTTTATCCAACTTTCAAATATACCTTAAGAAGACTGTGGCATTAAAGCTAGTTATTTTCATGCACCATAATGCTTCAGGTAATGCTGCTGGTGCAATTAATTAAAACTTAGGCAAACCTGGGGTTAAAAAACGACGGATTTATGGTGTGGCCACATGTTCCCTGTATCTAAACCTTATTGAGAACTTTTTGTGGCATTGTCAAGAGGCATGTTTAAGAAATCAGTGAGAAACGTCTATTCAAAAATGAATTTTGAGAATCAATGTCATCTATTTAAGCCTTCTCAAATTAACTTCATTTGATGTTATGCAGCTTCAAGAGAGAATGGAAATTATATCTGTAAATGATATTAGTTTTCTACTTATCTTTTCATGAGCAGTTTTGTCATTTCTTGCAATAAATTGTTGATTGGTTAGTTACTGGATTCCAATTTTTTATCCTTACATATTTTCACGTAATTATTTTTTGAGGCGATTGAATAAACAGTGGAACAGTTTTGAAAAAAACATTCAAATATATAGTATAGACTGTGACTTAAGATTTTGAAAAAGAATATTTGACTATCCAATTAGATTTATAATTATTGCAATTTTACTTACTTGTACAGAATGTTCGAATACAGTGTGTATGTATCTGTGCACATGCAAACACATACACACTTTATGAAAGTCAGTATTTTCACGATAATATTAGTATTAACAGACCAGTGTTGGCAAAATTTTAATTCTAGAAATAATCTCTAAGTGGCAACACTAGATCATCAGCATTCCTCAGATTCAAGCCTGTCATCAGTCTTCTTATGCAATTCTGTTTTATAACACTAAAAAAATAGTGGTTCTAATGTAGTCACTTATGTGGAATCCATTGTAAAAGTCTTCTTCAGGGAATAATGACAATACTTCATCTCAAAACTTCATAGAAGTAATAATGTATTTTTTCAAAGAAATATTGAGTATTCAAAATGGAGCCCTACAAGACCTTTTGCCTCCCACAAAAATAGTTGAAACAGGTTGGTTTATTTCTTGTCTTTTCATAGCATATACCTGGAGGTGGTACATTTCTTAAATTATTAATAAACAATCTTAAAATTGATACACTGATATTTTTTGTTGTTGTAAAAGCATATATATATATATATATATATATATATATATATATATATATATATATATATATATATATATATATACACACACACACACACTCTAGCTATTGCTTAGATTAAATTATTGATCTAAGAGAAAAATCAAATAAAAAGTGAAACTTCTTTGAGCAAAATAAAATACTTGTACATGCTTCAGGTTAGCCTGCCTGAGGATAATATTAGAATGGCTGATCAACTTTATACTTGTTCTAAAGGATATTATGTATTAACTCTGAAGTAGATGCATTATCTTCAAAAGGAAAGCAGAAGACAAAAAAAAAAAAAATTAAACTAAGATCATGTTTTTTTCTTTTTTAAAGATAGATTTATTTTTTAATATGAAAATCATCTATCTGTAGTTGAAACTAGATTTTTAAAAAATGTATATTCTTTATTTCTTTTATCTTACTGGACAAGTCATCAGTAGATGGATAGAAAGTTATTTCTTATGACTAAGAGTTTGACAGTATTACATTTATAACTGATTTAATCGCAGTCATTCACTTGGTAAGCGTTAACTGATATTTTTTTATCATTTGTTTTCTATTTTTCTTCCCACATTCATGTGATATGATTGAATTTTATCACATTTCAGTTAGATTCTCTTCATTCAGATAAAGCAAGTAATATACTTTCTATTCATCTTGAAATTAGATTCAGCTTTCTGACCTTTTTGATGAATTTTTATTATTTGACTTGACTTTTTCTTTTGTTTCTCAAGTCCATTTGTGTTTTCAAGATGCTGTTAACAAATAAAATTGATTAGTCATTGGAGTTTTTCTGGCAGTCTCATCTTTTTACCCCTTCCTACTATTTTCAGATTAGAAAATTATAAAAGACAATGATAATATTTTAATCACTTAATGTCTTTTATAATTGCAACATTAAATATGAACCAGAAAAAATAAAATATATTTTTTTTTTATTGTTTTCTACTTCTTTTCTCATTTTGTACTTTTCTCCCCCTCATCACTTTGTACTTTTCCCCCTCATCATATTGCACTCATCATGTTGTACTTCCTCCATCATTTTTTACTTTTCCCCCCTCATCGTTTTTACTTTCTCCCCTCTCATCGTTTTTACTTTCTCCCCCTCTCATCGTTTTTACTTTCTCCCCCTCATCGTTTTTACTTTCTCCCCCTCATCGTTTTTACTTTTCCCCCCTCTCATCGTTTTTACTTTTCCCCCTCTCATCGTTTTTTTTTTTTTCCCCCTCATCGTTTTTACTTTTCTCCCCTCTCATCGTTTTTACTTTTTCTCCCCTCATCGTTTTTACTTTTTCTCCCCTCATCGTTTTTACTTTTTTCCCCCCTCATCGTTTTTATTTTTCCCCCCTCATCGTTTTTACTTTTTTTCCCCTCATCGTTTTTACTTTTTCCCCCCTCATCGTTTTTACTTTTTTTCCCCCCTCATCGTTTTTACTTTTCCCCCCCTCCCCTCATTTTTTCATCGTTTTTTTTTTCCCCCCCTAATCGTTTTTTACTTTTCCCCTGCCTAATCCTTTTTTTACTTTTTCCCCTCATTTTGTACTTTTGTTAATATAGTGTAAAATCAGAGTTTTGCTCTGATTGCAAAGTACCTCTTTTTGACACCTTAATAATATATAATGTTCAATAACCTCCTAATTTTACAGTTCCAACAACTTAATTTTATATTATTTGTAGCTTGTTAATTTTTTTTCTATATTTCATAACATTGATTCTTGGTAATTATCTATTACACCTTTTTGTATTAAATAGTTTTACACAACATGAAATGAGTTTTTCAGTTAAGATTTTGGATTGTATTTAATCCCTCCTTCTACCAGAAGCAAGTTAACATGTGCTTGCCAATATTTTCTAGAAACTTTGCATGTGCATTCACTCAGTTCTGATTTTTCACATACTTGTATACCCAATAATCACTTGTCTCTTATTATACTCTGAAGAAGCTATATAATTATATCTATCTTCAAAGCTTTATAGTGGATAAATTCTTTGCCAATATAATTTATACCTGTTTAAATACATTGTATTGAATTATTGGTATCTGTTGAGATTTTCTTTCTCAAGCATTTTTAGTCTATTAATATTCTTGAGGTAGAAATATTCTAATTTCAAACATTGAAGATTCAAACTAAGAAATAAAATCTGTTTTTTTTTGTTTAAGCAGATTTGTCAGAGCAAATTAAGAAATTTTGAATTTTACTTTCTAGGCAAGTATAAATTGATTCATATGGTTGATTGAATATTTTAATAGTAATAACTATTGGTCATGTCAGTTCTTTTTTATGTTAGTCTAACTTTTAAAATTGAGTGTCAATCTTGAATTGAAATAAATTAGGTTGGTTCTGTTTCTAGATATGAATGAACTCTCAATCTCTAAGATGCATTTGTCAGATTCTACAAGACTCAGATCCAGTATTATTGTGCACTTGAGACATCTAAATTTGGCTGTCAAATATTTAATTTTTTTTTTTCTAAAAGCTTGTTTCAAATATATGGTAAAAATATTTACCAGCATTTAAGTTATTTAACATGAGAAAAAGTTTTAAAAATCAGTTCTGAAAATAAAATGAAAAATGTTGACAGCTGTTAAATGTGAAAGAAATTTTGAAACAAAAGTGGTATTTCAAAAGGAAAAGGGACTTGTATAAGCTTACAAAATGGTAGTGTTACAAAGTGCATAAGCAGAAGTCTTTTTTGGTGCTTTCCTTTTTTTTTCTTTTTTTTTTAAGTTTCTTCTCCCACTTATATATATATAAAGAAAGGAAAGTATTAGTTTCATTTATTAATTCAACAGATTTTTATTACTTAAATATTATTTTTAGTAGATACTAGTATTTGTGTAGACACTCCATTTATTTATTAAACACTATATTTATTTATTTATCTTTGTCTCCTGTCCTTGAATATTTGAGAAATCTTATTAGAGAAAAATGTATGCTTTCTGACAAGATTCAAACTTGTCATTAAATCCGAGGTGCTTTTACTTCTTGGCTACAGAGTGCATCAATGACCAAGCAAAGTTTGAATAGTGCCTTTAAACACAGATTTTTCTCCGACTCTTAAAATAGACATATCTGCTCAGTTATGTATCCTAATGTAAACAAAGCAATTTGTAAAGAAAAGAATGGATTTTTTATTTATTAATCCGATAAGATATATCTATTCCAAGAATCAGAAAAATCTGTGTTTCAAGGCACTATTCAACTTTGCTTGGTCATCGATGCACTTGGTAGCTGAGAGGACAAAGCATGTCAAAACTAATGATGGTTTCCCCTAGGGAAACACAGGTTCAGATCCTGCCAGAGGTTGCATATTTTTCTCTAATAAGATTTCAAAAATAAATATAGTGCTTATAAAAAAGCACTTTCAAAGATGCATTTTTTGCTTAAGATTTTTTGCTTCTTGCCAATATTAATTCTTTTTATATGTATCAGCATTTTCATTAATCAGTTTTGTACTTTGTGTGTGGCTGGGGGGGTGTAAGTCTAGTTAACAGGTTAAAGCAAAACTCTTAAAGAAAATGAAAAATTTAACATTAGATGAGAAATTGACGATTTTACAAGTCATTTTTCTTAAGATGGACATTCCATATACAAAATTCTCCATTAGAAATTTATTTCTCATATTAAAGATCAAATTGCACAAACTTGTATTTGACTAAGTTTTAGGTAATTACTAACCATCTGTTAAGCTGCAAACTCAGATATTAAGTATAAATGTTAAAATTACAGATTAAAAAAAAATAATCTGCACATCATTATAGCAAGAGAAATCTATCTTTTTATATTATTTTTTACTTTTGCTATAAATCAGTTTTCTATTGTACTTAAATGCACAATAATGTCTACTTCACCTGCCAGCTGCAAGCTTGTCATTCATCTGCCATTCTCTAAGAATAAAAAAAAATTCAATCACGTTGTTGTTAATAGTACTACTGCTACTACTACTATTCAGATATAGTTTAAATAGCAGGGTAGACTGGGCTCTCTAGCCTTTGGTGGCAACCCTTCTAGGACTATTCTGAATTCAAAACAGAAGGCAAAATGAGAAATGACACTCCATTTTCCCAAGACTGATAATAAAGAAATGGAATCTATGGAGAGCCATGATCACTCATATTCTTAAGAGATATGGCATTAAATGTTAAAAATGGTCATTATACCTGGAATATGTGAATTCTAGACAAACATCAGTAACATGAAAACTGCATTTACCTACAAGTGATACAAAAACTCAATCATTGATGAAGAGGAACATTATATCTCGATTTAATGCAGATGCTGTTCATCGCATCAGTCAACACACTGTACAGGATGCACTGTATTCTATTGGGGTTTGTAGTTGTTAACCAACGCCATGGCATTGGTTACTGTATGTCATTTGAGCCATTGTCATTGGATTGTAGTATATTGGAATTATGTTAACTGGTTATATCACTTTCCAACTCTTTAAAGTAGATGATCAAGTTAATATGTGGAAAAGACATCATTATAGAACCAACTTGTTGTTCTATGTATTGTGTCCCTTCAGAACATGGATGATTAGGATTTCCACAACTTCCTATCTTTTGTAGCTCTTAGTAAGGTTTGTCTTTTTGTTATCTCTCCTTATTTTGTTTTGCTATCCATTTACACAAACTTGTTAGCTTGTCCCTTATATCCCAATATGTCTTGTATCATATTCTCCAGGCCCTCTTTCCTTATTATGTGCCCTAGAAATTTGAACTGGCTATTTTTGATTCTAAGTATAGACATCCTTTCAGTTTCAATTTTTCCTTAAAACTTCCTTGTTACTCGCATGTTTAGTCCATGGTACTCTCGGCATCCATCTGTAGAACCACATTTCTGTTGTTTTCAGCTTTCTCTGCCATAGAGGATATTATATATGTTTAGTACTCTTTTCTTTGTTTCTAATTAAATTTTCCTATTTCTTGATACTTAACTTTTGAAAGGTATATTTTGCTATTCTAATGTGCATTCAGGTTTTGTTGTCACATTTTCTGTCCTTTATTAGAACACTTTCTATATATTTACCTTTTCATTCTTGCATGATTTTGGTATCCCCAATTTGTAATTCACATGTTGGACTGTTCCTTTTGCTGACAACCATACATTCTATCTTATAATTGATGGTTAGTCTTTTCTTCTTGCTTTCGTTTACTACCTTGTCTAGGAGTTCCTGCTATCAACAGTGTCATCTTCATATCTTATGATGTTAGATTATGTCCATTGATAATAAATCATGGTCAGTCCTTTTAGTAATCTTAGGATCACCTTTCTCAAGTTTGAGTATGTCCAGTGTGAGAAACACATCCTTGTCTTACACCCATTTCTATTTTAGTATATTAACTGAATTTATTTTCTGTCCATATATGGATACTTTGCTACTGATAAGTTATTATTCAATCCAGTGGTGGCCAGTAATGGTATGCAGTTTTTCTGTGTGTGTGTTTGCAAGGACTGTACATGAAACTAGTCTATTTTCACAAATGTAACATACTCAGATTTTGTTGTAGACCATTTACATCCATTTATTCTCATGATATTTTCTGATTTTACACACACTAAAACCTACCCAATACAAGACTCAAGAGCCATTCACTGTAGATTACTGTTAAAATGTTAATGATGAATGTGCTATTAATATGAATGAAAGAGATGATAGGAAATGAGGATTATAAAGATAAAGAGGATAAATAATGAGTGATCCTAGACTTAAGATTGTAGTGTTCAGGGAAGCAACCATGCAGAAACCTTTTCTACAAAGCATCAGTTCTTGAGGAAAATCTGTCTAAATGGAACATTGTTCTTACATTTGGAACACATAAGATGTAGGTGATTCAACTCCGAAAGTAGTATAGTATGTCCTAGCTGTAAAATGGAACTAAAGAATGGGGTTACTTTAGTGATGTCTGTGTGAAAGAGACTGCAGAAGGGACAATAAGCCTTCCTCTGCAAGAATGTATAAATGATTTTGAGCTCTATCAAGTGACAATTGACCAGTTCCACCTCATAGATGGCAGTAATACTCCATTTTTTGTTTAATCTTACTCTTGTAAAGATAAAACCTGGCAGAAGGAGTTACATTCTTCCTCATATAAAATTTACCATTTGCTATGTATCACCACACTTTTCAACATGTTAGGCTGTCGATAAATTAATCAACAAAAACAAAACCTGATGGTTAAGAAATGCTTGTATACAGTACTATTTGTTTCAAATCATTAATTTAACTTTAAATTTGTTAATTTTCCTCAAATAATGTTTTAGAAACATGTTTTATTTTTGAAAAATTTTTAAAACCAAGAAGTAACTTTTGTTTAGAAATGTGTCAAAATGGCCGATTTTATTGATTTTTATTGAGATAGAATTTCTGTTTGAAACACACTGAAAGCTTCAAGAAAACTTTTTCATTTTAAACCTTATGTATACTGAATTAGTGGAGGTGTGTGTATGTGTGTGTATGTGTGTATATATATATATATATATATATATATATATAATTAGGTAGCTGTATCTGTCTTTGGTGCTTTTGTTTATAATAATACTTGTA